GTCTCTATCTTGTCCCCAGCAAGGAGAGCGGTGGAATCCTCCCAAGGATTCCCATGTACTCAGTGTCCCTTCTTCTTCACAGCAAAGGTTTACCTGCAGAGACACATCAAAAGATCTCACCCTAAGTATGTCAGACAACTGAGGGCTGGATCTGTCAATACACCCCAGCATTTCACTTCTTCTGCTGGCACCAATGCTGCTCAGCCCAGTACCAACACACTCGGTACCCTGGAAGAAGCAGATTCAGACAGTCCTACAGCACGACAGGAATCCCAGACCGAAAAGACACTCAATATAAAGAGCAGTCGTAAAATACACCAGCGGATTCACAAAGGGGAGAGACCCTACCAGTGCTCTCCGTGTGGGAAGAGCTTCACTCGATTGGGATCCTTAAAGAGACACCAACGGATTCACACAGGGGAAAGGCCCTACCAGTGCTCTCCGTGTGGGAAGAGCTTCACTCAATTAGGATCCCTAAAGAGACACCAGCGGATTCACAAAGGAGAGAGGCCCTACCAGTGCACTCAGTGTGGGAAGAGCTTCAGTCAGATGGGGGCCCTAAAGAAACACCAGTGGATTCACACAGGAGAGAGGCCCTACCATTGCTCACAGTGTGGGAATAGCTTCACTGAATTACGATCCCTAAAGAGACACCAATGGATTCACACAGGGGAAAGGCCGTATCAGTGCCCCCAATGTGGGAAGAGCTTTAGTCATGCAGGACACCTAAATACACACCAGCGGATTCACACAGGGGAGAGGCCCTACCAGTGCTCCCAGTGTGGGAAGAGCTTCAGTCAATTAGGATCCCTAAAAATACACCAGCAGATTCACACAGGGGAAGGGCCGTATCAGTGCTGCCAATGTGGGAAGAGCTTCAGTTATTTAGGATCCGTAAAGATCCACCAACGGATTCACACAGGGGAGAGGCCCTACCAGTGCACTCAGTGTGGGAAGAGCTTTAGTCATATAGGAGACCTAAAGACACACCAGCGGATTCACACAGGGGAGAGGCCCTACCAGTGTTCTCCGTGTGGGAAGAGCTTCACTCGATTAGGATCCCTAAAGATACACCAACGGATTCACACAGGGGAGAGGCCCTACCAGTGCACTTGGTGTGGGATGAGCTTTAGTCATGTAGGAGACCTAAAGACACACCAGCGGATTCACACAGGGGAGAGGCCCTACCAGTGCTCCCAGTGTGGGAAGAGCTTCAGTCAGTTAGGAAACCTAAAGATACACCAGCGGATTCATACAGGGGAAAGGCCCTACCAGTGCTCCCAGTGTGGAAAGAGCTTCAGTCAGTCAGGACACCTGAAAACACACCAGCGGATTCACAGAGGGGAGAGGCCCTACCAGTGCTCCCAGTGTGGAAAGAGCTTCACTGAAGTAGGATCCCTAAAGATACACCAGCGGATTCACACAGGGGAGAGGCCCTACCAGTGCTCCCAGTGTGAGAAGAGCTTCAGTCATTTAGGAAACCTAAAGATACACCAGCGGACTCACTGAGTTCAGTCCTTTGTTACAGTCAATCAAATAAGTGTATATTCTTGAATTCTTTACAAAGTATTTTTTGCTTTGAAGTTGTAGGTGTGGATTTTAGAGTTTTGTTTGTCACGTATATTCAGAGAGGCAATGTTTTATAGTATAGAATATGTTGAAGGTAGTCTTTAGCTACAAAACACTGAATTAGACACTTGCAAAATTCCATTGAATACTAATGAAACTCAAATGTCATTCAGTGAGCTTTTTCTGTTATCTGTTAGAAGTGATACCAGTTTATGTTGGGGTCAACAGATCCAGTCTGGGAAACCTTTACAACCAGCGGCAGCTTTCATAAGTGATTTTAACTAGTCTGGGAAACATTGAAAGCTGCCGCTGGCTGTAGTAAGTGATTTTTACTATGCTGGACTTTTACAAGACTGAAGTGGTAAATAATGCTTCAACTGCCTACTGTGTTAGAATTACAGCTACATGACAGCTCATGTAATGAGCACCTAAAAAGTTGAATTAGGCAGTTCAGTTTGCAAAATAAACATGTTTAACACCATTAACAATAAATGCTTACTGCACGTTTCATTTTGTGAACAGCCAGGAAATGGCCAAGGCTCCACTAGGAACCACTGGGATTTGCACTGTGTACTTGCACTGTCTGTATAGGTTGTGTTTGGTACTACAGGCCTGCTTTGTATTTTAAAGATCAGGTTTCATCCACCTAACTCTGAAAAGCACATTTGTTTATGTACATTAAATTATTGAAGAATTATGTTTGAATATAGCAATATTAAGCTAATAAACAAGCCTTGTTTTTCCATAATATTTAACTATTAAAAACAGTCAACCAAACCAAAATACAGCTTCAGAAGCAGTTCAATTGCGGTAATCCCATATGCTGATTGCAAAGGAAAACCATTATTAAGTGATTGTATGAGTTTTCATTTCTAAATTATTACAAGATGAAGTCCCTTGGGGATTGTCAGGCTCTGCGTGCTGTTCAATTACAGACACAGTGTCACACACCCACACACACACACTGAACCCCATGGTACAGGTACACCAGAATCAAGCAAACCAACCAGGACTAGCGAGCTGCCCATCTTCATTCATACCTAGAGGACAGGAAAACTGGAACGTGAGGTGAAACAAGTGCATGACACTTGAGTGCATGAGGTACTGTGGCCACGCACATGGCACACTTCACGAAACCTCGATGATGTTATTCTGGTTTTTCGTAGCATATGCCATTCTGGAACTGTACTTTGGTCATGTGTGGATGCCTCAATTTTATGTGCCATATCAATGGACACGGTCAAGCTTCGCAGGTGCAACTGTTCCTCTTCTGTGCACACCCACACGCACTCCGTTGGCGCGAGGCTGTGGGTCTCCAGGGGAAGGCTGGGATAGGGTGGAGCGTTGCAGTGTAACACAATGTTTTTGCAGTGGAGTTTGGGCTGCTGATAAGAAAGTATACTGCCTCTCTGCACCAGTCCGAACTCTGACTCTACAAGTGGTTTATTTGCACTCATTTTTAAAATCCGCTGAAGCCATTTGATGATGCAAAAATGATTACGAACCTCATCGGGAATGTACAGTGAGTACTCTCGAGCTTTGGGGGGAATAAAACCCCAGAAAATAGTTAAAAGCATGCGAGGAATTGGTAATATATCATACAGGGAAGACCATGAAATAATAAACTGAGAAGAAGACCTAAACTTTCACTCAGAGCTCATAACTTATCACCTCCTCAGGCGCCATCTTGAAGGGCCCCTCCGCCAGCTGAGAGGTTCTGAACGATCTATAATATTGCTGCATTCCATTTGCCTCGGGATCCGATTTTCGGATTCCGATATTACGTCACATCCGCTAAAAACTCGGGAAAACCGAGTCGGATATGATCCATTTGCCATAGAAGTAGCAATACCATGGACCCATATGGAAAAAGCAAGATTTTTTGCTTAGCCGGACAACTTGTCGGATTTAAGGTACCTCAGTTTAAATGGCCTTTATCTTCGTTCCCTTACAATTAGCCCGAACTACCTTAAATCCGACAAATAATCCGACTAATCATGAAATCCAATTCTAGACCGGTTAATTGGTAGCCATTGCTAGCCATATCACTTGATAACATGATATTACGCGCGGTGCTTCACGTATAAAACTCCGTAGCAACACGTCCATAGATAAGTTGGACGGTATAGTGTGTGCGACCGATTTAATGAGCCAGAAATGAGAAGTAGTGCTTAACTACAACTTTCCCTTCTGTTGATAAAGGGCGCAGCCATCTTCGATTCTGAACTCGGGATCCTCTGCGTTATCCGAGATATTTCTCGGATTCTTCGAGAAACGGGAGCGCGCATGTCATCACTTCCGGCTTCGAAACTCGGAATCCGACTCGGAAATTCCGAGTTCCGAGGGCAAATGGAATGCACGATATGTCGTCTTGCTCTCGCGAGGTGTCAGGACCAGAATGCATTGCTTTAAGCCAGCACTATAAGCGGCTGCATGAAGTCGATCGCACCTATTGTTATTTGGTCGCCCCCGTTGCAACGGAGAGAAATACCAGTGAATTGGGTTATCCTGGAGCAACGTGAACGCCCTGCCTCAGGTGAGACAGCTCTGTTTTATTTCCTGTTTATTTGTTGTTGTGCTCCGCTAACTGAGTTTTATAAACATAAGGATATGCTGAAATTATACCGCTTACTAACTTTTGGACGTCACAATGCACATCTCATTGATATTTTAGGTGTATAGATGGGTCAGTATATGGTTTAACATCAAAAAATTGATACAAAAGATTTTTTTATGGATTCTATTACTATTGAACCTGCTAAATGACATACTAGAAACCTAGTAAAATCTGACTAAAATTTTCAAGATGGCGTCCAAGATGGCTACCAGGGCCTTAAAAGGGGTCTATCTCAAGTACTATCCAGCTTAGAAGGTTGAATTTGAGTTTAAATAATAGGTTTTTGACCCTGTAAGCCAATTAGTATCATCAGTTAATTTTAGAAGTATTTGTTTGTATAAGTATTTGCTTAGTAACTGGTAATAAAATAATTGAATAATTATATAATCCATCCATCCATCCATTTACTTCCGCTTATCCGAGGTCGGGTCGCGGGGGCAGCAGTCTCAGCAGGGAAACCCAGACTTCCCTCTCCCCGGCCACTTCCTCCAGTTCATCTGGGGGGATCCCGAGGCGTTCCCAGGCCAGCCGAGAGACATAGTCCCTCCAGCGTGTCCTGGGTCTTCCCCGGGGCCTCCTCCCAGTGGGACATGCCCGGAACACCTCACCAGGGAGGCGTCCAGGAGGTATCCTGACCTCATCTGGCTCCTCTCAATGCGGAGGAGCAACGGCTCTACTCTGAGTCCCTCCCGAATGACCGAGCTCCTCACCCTATCTCTAAGGGAGAGCCCAGCCACCCTGCGGAGAGAACTCATTTCGGCCGCTTGCACTCGCGATATCGTTCTTTCGGTCATTACCCACAGCTCATGACCATAGGTGAGGGTAGGAACGTTGATCGACTGGTAAATCGAGAGCGTTGCCTTTTGGCTCAGCTCCTTCTTCACCATGGCAGCACCCGCATCACTGCTGACGCCGCACCGATCTGCCTGTCGATCTCCTGCTCCATCCTTCCCTCACTCGTGAACAAGACCCCGAGATACTTAAACTCCTCCACTAGGGGAAGGACCTCCTCCCCGACCTGGAGAGAGCACTCTCTCAATCCATGACGAGCTCAGAAGTCCAACAACAGAACACCACTCGGGTTCAGATCGGGGGGGCCGTTCCTCCCACTCACGCCACTCCAGGTCTCACTGTCATTGCCCACGTGGGCATTGAAGTCCCTCAGCAGAACAAGAGAGTCCCCGGGGGGAGCGCTCTCCAACACCCCTTCCAAGGACTCCAAAAAGGGTGGGTATTCTGAACTGCCGTTTGGCGCATAAGCGCAAACAACAGTCAGGACCCGTCCCCCCACTCGAAGGCGAAGGGAGGCTACCCTCTCGTCTACTGCGGTAAACCCCAATGTGCAGGCGCCCAGCCAGGGAGCAATAAGTATGCCCACCCTGGCTCGGCGCCTCTCCCAGTGAGCAACTCCAGAGTGGAAGAGGGTCCAACCCCCTTCGAGGAGACTGGTTCCAGAGCCCAAGCCGTGCGTCGAGGCGAGCCCGACTACATCTAGTCGGAACCTCACAGCCTCACGCACCAGCTCAGGCTCCTTCCCCATCAGAGAGGTGACATTCCATGTCCCTAGAGCTAGCTTCTGCAGCCAAGGATCGGAACGCCAAGGTCCCCGCCTTCGGCCACTGCCCAACTCACACTGCACCCGACCCCTATGGCCCCTCCTACAGGTGGTGAGCCCATTGGAGGGGGGATCCACGTGCCTTGTTCGGGCTGTGCCCGAACAGGCCCCATGGGTGTAGGCCTGGCCACCAGGCGCTCGCCATCGAGCCCCACCCCCAGGCCTGGCTCCAGCGGGGGGGCCCCGGTGACCCACGTCCGGGCAAGGGAAATCGTGGATCCATGTTATAACTCATCATAAGGGGTCTTGTGAGCCGCACTTCGTCTGGTTCCTCACCCAGGACCTGTTTGCCTTGGGTGACCCTACCAGGGGCTTAAAGCCCCAGGCAACTTAGCTCCTGGGATCATTGGAACACGCAAACCTTTCCACTAGGGCTGCACGATAACAGAAAAAATTATTATCACGATTATTTTGCTCAAAATTTTTATCACGATTAATAATGACGATTATTCCTTTGTTAATGAACTTTTATTCACTTGTGTATTCTTATTGCACTTTACAGCCACAAATAAAGAAAAATAAACAAACCAAACATGTTTAGAATGGAGAGTTTTTCTTAGCTGTGGTAAATAAATAAAATTAAACTGCCTCTTTTACATCAACTTGTAATAAAATCAAATAAGAATAAAAAAATTTTTACAACATGTTACAGATTTTTGGCTAAGAACACAAGCCTGTCAACTTGATCGGGCTTTAGGGAAGACCGCAAGCAAGTAACTACACTTCCACCGGAACTGAAAGCCCTCTCTGAAGGAGAGCTTGTGGCTGGTATGCACAAGTATTTTTTTGCCACTTTTGAAAGCCTTGGGTAGATCTTTTCATGTTCTTTCCACCATTTTGATGGGTCCCCCTCACTATCCAGGTAGCTTGACTGCAAGTAAGATTCTAGCTCACAGGCTACACTGGATTCCTGGTTAGGTGGCAAGGCTTGTTCAGCAGTTTTAAAGTAGCTTCCTAAAGTCATCTTTTTCTTTGGGGCACATCCAGTTTCAGCTTCCTCCTCGCTGGTCTCTTGTGCTGTTTCTTGGGGTGGCACCTAAACACAGAAAAAGGCATTTAGAACAAATTTAACTAATTGAGACTCAAAACACTAATATAGATCTCAGTGCAGCTCATTTTTACCATCATTGCCAAAGTCTGCATCTCAGCTTTGAGTCTGGATTGAGTTGTTGTTTTGTTGTCCTCAGCCGTGTATCTCATCTTAAATCGTGGATCCACCGTAGATGCCATGTCCAATAGAGCTTGGATGTCTGGGTCACTGTATTTTTCGTTTAGGTACTCCAAAATTTTAGACTTGATTGCTCTTGACAGGTCAGTATCATCATCCTTAACTTTCAAGATTGATGCGTTGAAAAGATGAAGAACTGGCTTAACAAATGACATGCTGACGTACTTCTCGCCAGACAGTGCATCTGTAAAATTAACTAGAGGGTGCAAGGATTTGTTGATTGCCTCTAGTACATCCATGTCCTGCCATGTTGGGATAAGATGACGAGACTTCTTGTCAGAGGACAGGACATGTGCAATGGCCTTTTGCTGCTCGATGATTCTCTCTATCATGGCCTGACGTGATCCCCACCTTGTTGGACACTCTGTTTTCAGTGAGTGCTCTGGGAGTTTCATCTCCTTTTGTGCAGCTAAAAACTCTCTCTTATGCTTCCAGCTGTAAGAGAAGGAGCTCACCAACTTTTTACAGAGCCCCACAGCCCGGTCAATTCTTGGATCCTTCATGGCATTCTCTTCAGGAAATAAACATGATCAGAAAAAAACAGTAAGACACAGGAAGACTCTTGTTGTTTATGCAACTTTTGATCAGAAATAAAAAAAAATGTTTTTTATTTCACTAATTATATATACCTACATAAGACAATTATCAAACATTTATTAATAAATAATAAACACTCACTTATTCTAAACTCATCGGGGTTCACAAACATTAACATAATAGTACTGTATTTGACTAATCAAATATTTTTTTAACTTTTAAATGTATCTATTTTGATAGATTAGCAGAATAAAAATGATGATTATTATACTGTAGACATATGACTCATTGTCATTATAATGTGTCATTATAATATCACTAAAACAACAATAACAACAATTCATATTTTTAAATTGTCA